TTGTTACACAAACTTTAACTAAGATAATTGAGGAAAAATGAAGCTTGGAATAAATTCTAATACTGTACTGTACAGTTAAAGGATTCAGTATGCATTATTTAAAGCCTAGAAGACAATGACTACAAAATTATGCCTTGAAGTTGTAATGTTTTAACATTTATTTATTTTTTAATTTTAGTCTAGATTATGTTATCAGTAGTTAATGTACACTGTGTTATGAGGCACATTTATTTTTTATCCACAGCGTTTGGCTGTAAATACGATGAAAATTGGAAAATTCAGAAAAAAAATTCAGGAAAGCTGTTGCCTATGGCTATATGCTGATGTATTTTGGTTGCTTAATTCATAATATTTATGTAGCTATGTATGATTGTTCTACTCCCTCCCTTCATTTAGAGGGCCCTTCTGTTTACATAGGAAAAGCCGTAGAAAAGTATTCATAATATTTTGGTGTAAAGTAATACCAATCACTTGGTAAGAATCAGTATCTGGCACCTTGCTCAACTAGCCAACAACAGGACGAGAGTCAGTTACTCATCAAACATGCTAGAGTAAGGTACGATCGTGTTTTGTAATTTTTTTTTCTCTGGCCTGAATTCAGTATTTCCCGTCAAGTATTTTGTGTTATCATTGGAGCAAGAGATTGTGTTAGGTACAGTACAGTACTTGGCAGTAAACACGTCAGTTGTGGAATTTAATTCAGTGGATGTTATTGAAGCTTAGCAAGATGACCTTCATTTTGCCATTCCAATATCCCCACTTTACTCTGCCACCCATCCTTAGAGGCAAGCCTTGTAAAGTTCACACAGTACTTACTGGACCCCAGTTGACCCCACCCTAGGTACCTCGCCCACTGACTGTGATGTAGTGAAACACCACCCCACTGAGTTATAGAGTGAAACCTCTTTATAACGGACTCCTCTCTCCATATAGTCTGTTAGATGAAGGTTTCACAATAATGGGCATTCGATATAACGAATTTTCATCTACATATAGTCCGTTAAATAGAGGTTTCACTGTATGACCAAACCACCTTGGGTTTGGGAGGTCTGGCCATGGTAGTTTGACCAGGATGGGGTTGCTATACTGTACTATACAATAGTGCATTTTTTCTCAGCTGAGAAAAGATGCCCCATCCCCTCCTCAAGAGCTACAACTGATTGGCTGTTGCAAACCTGTTAGATTTTGTCCTGAAGTAATGATATATTTCTAAATGAGTTTATTAATAATTGTTGGGATGACCGTTTCTGGCGAGAAAGATATTTATCTAAATGATATAAAGATACATACATTTATTATTGCAAACATAGGCACGCAGGAAGTTTATAAAAAATCTTATACATGAATTAACTGTTAAACTTTAGAAGCAAATTCACGCTCTCGGATGATGCATTTAATATACAGTAGTACCCCGCTTAACGGCTTAACGCGGTCAATTGTACCCACAGTGTTAAGTGAAAACCGCGTTAAGTGAACAACAGAACATATGGGATTAATTCCAATAGAGACTGGCCCGACCCCCAAACTCTACTTTTTCGGACACAATACCTATGTTCTAGTAAAAATAACATCTTAATTTTATGATGGTACATGCACACAATTAATACTTAAGAGAAATACAGTCGCCAAGTTAATGTCCATTCAAATAATGGACTCGACTCCCTCCCCCTCTTCTCACACTACACTGCTGGTTCTTCCCTCTCTTGAGAAATTTTGGGGGGAAAACCACTGGATTTTAATAAATAATACCTCAAACTAAAGTTAGGATAATATAATTGACATTGCTGGATTCCTTGTAAGACCAGGAATATTTTGAATATAAATGTCATATATTTTGCACAAAAGATAACATATTTACTCAGAGCAAACATTATATCTAAAATTTGTATGTCTAATGCAAAATCTATGATGTTTATATTCAAAATGATCATCAAATTGTAAGAATTCCAGTAATGTAAATTATATTCTGGCCGGGTAATTTGTATGAATTTTACGAGCTAAAACAAATATCTTCAGTTAATAAAAAAAAAATATTCTTCGACACTATCTGTCAATCAAAGTACCTCACCTTGCCTCCCCCCGTCTTCCAACCGTGCCATCGTCCCAACCCTCCCTACAACAGAAATGTAGGGTGAAAAAACTAAATTTTAACATTTAGTAATAAATAATACCTCAAATTAAAGTTAGGATAATATAATTGACATTGCTGAATTCCTTGTAAGACCAGGAATATTTTGAATATAAATGTCATATATTTTGCACAAAAGATAACATATTTACTGAGAGTAAACATTATATCTAAAATTTGTATGTCTAATGCAAAATCTATGATGTTTATATTCAAAATGATCATCAAATTGTAAGAATTCCAGCAATGTAAATTATATTCTGGCCGGGTAATTTGTATGAATTTTATGAGCTAAAACAAATATCTTCAGTTAATAAAAAAAAAAATAATATTCTTCACACAGTGCCAGATGGTCAGTCGGTCCCTCCCTCCCCCCCACTTCCCACCAACCCTCCCTACCAGACGTGTGGGAAAACCAGAATATTTACCTTTCTAGTAATAAATAATACCTCAAACTAAAGTTAGGATAATATAATTGACATTGCTGGATTCCTTGTAAGACCAGGAATATTTGAATATGAATGTCATATATTTTGCACAAAAGATAACATATTTACTCAGAGTAAACATTATATCTAAAATTTGTATGTCTAATGCAAAATCTATGATGTTTATATTCAAAATGATCATCAAATTGTAAGAATTCCAGTAATGTAAATTATATTCTGGCCGGGTAATTTGTATGAATTTTACGAGCTAAAACAAATATCTTCAGTTAATAAAAAAAAATATTCTTCGACACTATCTGACAATCAAAGTACCTCACCTTGCCTCCCCCCGTCTTCCAACCGTGCCATCCTCCCAACCCTCCCCATTTCACTCAACCCTCCCTACAAGAGAAATGTAGGTGAAAAACTAAATTTAACATTTAGTATTAAATAATACCTCAAATTAAAGTTAGGATAATATAATTGATATTGCTAGCTCCTTGTAAGACTAGAATATTTTTGAAATATAAATATATATTTTGCACAAAAGAAATATATTTACTGAGAAAAACATTATATCTAAAATTTGTATGTCTAATGCAAAATCTATGATGTTTATATTCAAAATGATCATCAGATTGTAAGAATTCCAGCAATGTAAATTATATTCTGGCCGGGTAATTTGTATGAATTTTATGAGCTAAAACAAATATCTTCAGTTAATAAAAAAAATAATAATTTTCTTCACACAGTGCCAGATGGTCAGTCGGTCCCTCCCTCCCCCCCACTTCCCACCAACCCTCCCTACCAGACGTGTGGGAAAACCAGAATATTTACCTTTCTAGTAATAAATAATACCTCAAACTAAAGTTAGGATAATATAATTGACATTGCTGGATTCCTTGTAAGACCAGGAATATTTTGAATATGAATGTCATATATTTTGCACAAAAGATAACATATTTACTCAGAGTAAACATTATATCTAAAATTTGTATGTCTAATGCAAAATCTATGATGTTTATATTCAAAATGATCATCAAATTGTAAGAATTCCAGCAATGTAAATTATATTCTGGCCGGGTAATTTGTATGAATGTTATGAGCTAAATAAAAAAAAATATATTATACTTCACCACGTTAAGTGAAAGTTCGGTTCTGGCGAGGCACCGCGCATATGCGAAATCGCGTTAAGTGAAACGCGTTAAGCGGGGTAATACTGTATACGCCTAGACCCCGACTTACGACGGGGTTAGGGACCCAAATCCAGGTCGTAAGTCTGACATGGTCGTAAGTCCGACATAGATAAAAAAAAAAAAATTTAATAAAAAATCTACAATGAAATACAGTACAGTAAAAGTAATGAATAATGATGAATGGATACAGTACAGTGAAAGTAATAAATAATAAGGAATGGATACAGTGTGACTGAGCACTTAACCTTTAATGTAGTCAGCTGAATGCACATGGGCCCCCCATAATTTTCTAATTATACATGGAGACTACATTAACTGGAAACGTTTCGGTATAGAAAATGCGTGTGTCATTTAAAATTTTTTTTTTTTTTTTTTTTTTTTTTTTTTTTTTTTTTTTTTATATCTATATCTGAGGTGTCAAGTCCTGACGGTCGTAAGTCCACGTAGCTGTAAGTCAATTTTTATCGAGAAACTACACAGTAAATCTGGTCGATTTTAAAAGATCAGAATCACTTTGAAATATTACACGGCTCCTGAAAATTAGTGGACGAGTGTAACAGACTTTGTCGCTCCAGCGAACAGCCGTCAGCAGAGGCGGGAAAATATGAAGTTGTTCTCAGTCATATTTCCTGCCTCTGCTGACGGTCGTGTGAAATTTCAATGTGATTCTGATCTTTTAAAATGTTTTTGCATAATGTAGTATTACTGATACGTAATTTGTCTTAGTATGCCTTATTGTGGGTAAAAATAAGTATACCGGTATATTGAATGCATCTTTCGAAAGCGTGAATTTGTTACCAGAGTTCAACAGTTAATTAATGTATACTTCTGATAAACTTCTTGCGTGCTTATGTTTGCAATTATAAATGTATGTATCTTTATATAATTTAGCTAAATATCTTTCTCGCCAGAAATGGTCATCCCAACAATTATTAATAAACTCATTTAGAAATATATCATTACTTCAGGACAAAATCTAACAGGTTTGCAACAGCCAATCAGCTGTAGCTCTTGAGGAGGGGGCAGGGCATCTTTTCTCAGCTGGGAAAAGATGCGCTATAGGATGAAATATAAAGTATTTCACCTTTATTCATATTATTTAGTGTTGGTTATTGTAGATCTATGTTTATTACACTTGCTATTTCTCATGTCATTCTTTCCACATTCCCTACTGTGTGATCTTCCATATATTACCTTTCATGGATGTAGTATTGAATATTATGCAAGTCTCCTTTATTTCCTGTTCAGTTTTATACAGTGGTGAAGAACGTTAAAAAGACCCACCAGCTCCAGGAGTCAGGAGAGTTCCAAGAATTTAACGACGACGTGGAGTATTTTTTGGATGCCTTACGACCCTCCATGCCAGTATCCACCCGGTGTTTGGCCGCCCTCAACCTTGCTCAGAAGTGCATGGTGCCCGCCTTCAGGATGCATCTACGGGCTCATGGTACGGTCATCAAGTTCTTCAGCGCCCTGTCTGATGCTCACTCTGATCATGTAAGTTGTGTGTGTTATACCTGTCAGTACTTGTGATCTGTTGTTGCCATTTGAAGGGTAACGACAGTACATTCTTATACCTGTCAGTACTTGTGATCTGTTGTTGCCACTTGAAGGGTAACGACAGTACATTCTTATACCTGTCAGTACTTGTGATCTGTTGAAGGGTAACGACAGTACATTCTTATACCTGTCAGTACTTGTGATCTGTTGTTGCCACTTGAAGGGTAACGACAGTACATTCTTATACCTGTCAGTACTTGTGATCTGTTGTTGCCACTTGAAGGGTAACGACAGTACATTCTTATACCTGTCAGTACTTGTGATCTGTTGTTGCCACTTGAAGGGTAACGACGGCGTACATTCTTATACCTGTCAGTACTTGTGATCTGTTGTTGCCACTTGAAGGATACTGACAGTACATTGTTATACCTGTCAGTACTTGTGATCTGTTGTTGCCACTTGAAGGGTAACGACAGTACATTCTTATACCTGTCAGTACTTGTGATCTGTTGTTGCCACTTGAAGGGTAACGACAGTACATTGTTATACCTGTCAGTACTTGTGATCTGTTGTTGCCACTTGAAGGATACGACGGTACATTGTTATACCTGTCAGTACTTGTGATCTGTTGTTGCCACTTGAAGGGTAAGACAGTACATTCTTATACCTGTCAGTACTTGTGATCTGTTGCCACTTGAAGGGTAACGACAGTACATTCTTATACCTGTCAGTACTTGTGATCTGTTGTTGCCACTTGAAGGATACTGACAGTACATTGTTATACCTGTCAGTACTTGTGATCTGTTGTTGCCACTTGAAGGGTAACGACAGTACATTCTTATACCTGTCAGTACTTGTGATCTGTTGTTGCCACTTGAAGGGTAACGACAGTACATTCTTATACCTGTCAGTACTTGTGATCTGTTGTTGCCACTTGAAGGGTAACGACAGTACATTGTTATACCTGTCAGTACTTGTGATCTGTTGTTGCCACTTGAAGGGTAACGACAGTACATTCTTATACCTGTCAGTACTTGTGATCTGTTGTTGCCACTTGAAGGGTAACGACAGTACATTCTTATACCTGTCGTACTTGTGATCTGTTGTTGCCACTTGAAGGGTAACGACAGTACATTCTTATACCTGTCAGTACTTGTGATCTGTTGTTGCCATTTGAAGGGTAGCGACAGTACATTCTTATACCTGTCAGTACTTGTGATCTGTTGTTGCCACTTGAAGGGTAACGACAGTACATTCTTATACCTGTCAGTACTTGTGATCTGTTGTTGCCACTTGAAGGGTACGACAGTACATTCTTATACCTGTCAGTACTTGTGATCTGTTGTTGCCACTTGAAGGGTAACGACAGTACATTCTATACCTGTCAGTACTTGTGATCTGTTGTTGCCACTTGAAGGATAACGACAGTACATTCTTATACCTGTCAGTACTTGTGATCTGTTGTTGCCACTTGAAGGGTTACTGACAGTACGTTATACCTGTCAGTACTTGTGATCTGTTGTTGCCACGAAGGGTAACGACAGTACATTCTTATACCTGTCAGTACTTGTGATCTGTTGTTGCCACTTGAAGGGTACGACAGTACATTCTTATACCTGTCAGTACTTGTGATCTGTTGTTGCCACTTGAAGGGTAGCGACAGTACATTCTTATACCTGTCAGTACTTGTGATCTGTTGTTGCCACTTGAAGGGTAACGACAGTACATTGTTATACCTGTCAGTACTTGTGATCTGTTGTTGCCATTTGAAGGGTAACGACAGTACATTCTTATACCTGTCAGTACTTGTGATCTGTTGTTGCCACTTGAAGGGTAACGACAGTACATTCTTATACCTGTCAGTACTTGTGATCTGTTGTTGCCACTTGAAGGGTAACGACAGTACATTGTTACCATCCTCATGTATTGTCTACACTCTCAGGAGACTCTTTTTTTTTCTTTGTTTCTTCATCTCGTATTAGGAAGTTGGTCACTGTCCCTTAACCAAACTTAACCTAACCCCATGAGTATGATGACCTAACCCCATGAGTATGATGACCTAACCATTTACTATGATAACCTAACCCCTTGAGTATGATGACCTAACCCCATGAGTATGATGACCTAACCCTTGAGTATGATGACCTAACCATTTACTATGATAACCTAACCCCTTAGTGTATTGACCTAACCATTTACTATGATAACTAACCCCATGAGTATGATGACCTAACCATTTACTATGATAACCTAACCCCTTGGTATGATGACCTAACCCCATGAGTATGATGACCTAACCCTTGAGTATGATGACCTAACCATTTACTATGATAACCTAACCCCTTGAGTATGATGACCTAACCATTTACTATGATAACCTAACCCCATGGTATGATGACCTAACCATTTACTATGATAACCTAACCCCATAGAGTATGATGACCTAACCCATGAGTATGATGACCTAACCCTTGAGTATGATGACCTAACCATTTACTATGATAACTAACCCTTGAGTATGATGACTAACCCCATGAGTATGATGACCTAACCATTTACTATGATAACCTAACCCCTTGAGTATGATGACCTAACCCCATGAGTATGATGACCTAACCATTTACTATGATAACCTAACCCCTTGAGTATGATGACCTAACCCCATGAGTATGATGACCTAACCATTTACTATGATAACCTAACCCCATGAGTATGATGACCCAACCCTTGAGTATGATGACCTAACCCTTGAGTATGATGACCTGACCCTTGAATATGTTGACCTAACCATTTACTATGATAACCTAACCCCTTGAGTATGATGACCCAACCCTTAGTATGATGACCTAACCCTTGAGTATGATGACCTAACCCTTGAGTATGATGACCTAACCCTGAGTATGATGACCCTAACCCCATGAGTATGATAACCTAACCCCTTGAGTATGATGACTAACCCCATGAGTATGATAACCTAACCCCATGAGTATGATGACCCTAACCCCTTGAGTATGATGACCTAACCCCTTGAGTATGATGACCTTACCTTGAGTATGATGACCCTAACCCCATGAGTATGATAATCTAACCCCATGAGTATGATGACCTAACCCCATGAGTATGATGACCTAACCCCATGAGTATGATGACCTAACCCATGAGTATGATAACCTAACCCCATGAGTATGATGACCTAACCTCTGAGTATGATGACCTAACCCCTTAAGTACGATGACCTAACCCCTTGAGTACGATGATCTAACCTCTTGAATATGATGACCTAACCTCTTGAGTATGATGACGTAACCCCTTGAGTATGATGAGCTAACCCCTTGAGTATGATGACCTAACCCCTTGAGTACGATGACTAACCTCTTGAATATGATGACCTAACCCCTTGAGTATGATGACCTAACCTCTTGAATATGATGACCTAACCCCTTGAGTACGATGATCTAACCTCTTGAATATGATGACCTAACCCCTTGAGTACGATGATCTAACCTCTTGAATATGATGACCTAACCCCTTGAGTATGATGATCTAACCTCTTGAATATGATGACCTAACCCATTGAGTATGATGATCTAACCTCTTGAGTATGATGACCTAACCCCTTGAGTATGATGATCTAACCTCTTGCTTATGATAACCTAACCCCTTGAGTATGATGATCTAACCCCTTAAGTACGATGACCTAACCCCTTGAGTATGATGACCTAACCCCTTGAGTACGATGACCTAACCCCTTAAGTACGATGACCTAACCCCTTGAGTACGATGACCTAACCCCTTGAGTACGATGACCTAACCCCTTGAGTACGATGACCTAACCCTTTGAGTACGATGATCTAACCCCTTGAGTATGAACCTAACCCCATGAGTATGATGACCTAACCCCATGAGTATGATGACCTAACCCCTTGAGTATGATGACCTAAACCCATTGAGTATGATGACCTAACCCCTTGAGTATGGTGACCTAACCCCATGAGTATGATGACCTAACCCATTAAGTATGATGACCTAACTATGAGTGTGATGACACCCCCTTGAGTACAATGATGGGTGTCTGCAGGGAGGGGTGCACTTGCATTCTTCTGGAAAGTGAGAAATGTTCTATTTTTCACCAATTCTTTTTCACAAGTTTTTAAGTGAACTGTTTGTTCTTACCACAACAGACACTTGTGGTAAGGCGGTACTTTTGACAATTTCTCTGGCGGCTGGGCCTGGATGGCCAACTCGGGTAGACCATCGTGATGTCAACTTAGCAGAGGACTGCATTATTTTACAGTTCGTTAAATTAGCAATTTTCATAAATACTGTACTTTGCATATTATTACCTAACTTTTATTTTTTCTTAAAATTTTGATAACTTATGATATTTGGGTAACTGCACAATTTGTCGAGTACAACACATAATTGTAAACAATATACAGTGAACCCTCACTTTACGCGGTCAATTGAACCCACGGCGGCCCGCGTAAAGTGAACAACATAACATATGGGATTAATTGAAATCGAGACCGGGCCGACCCCCAAACTCCACTTTTTCAGACACAATACCTACGTTGTAGTAAAAATAACTTCTTAATTTTATGATGGTATGCATACACAATTAATAATTAAGAGAAATATCAATAATATTAGGTTTTTTAACACTTACATTAGTAGAAAAGATGGCTGGGCACACGGGGATGGGGGGGTTGGTTCCGAGGCAGAGGGCAGATTATTGGCCCTCACCTGTATCACTTGTATCACTATCCACCACAGAGGCTTGCAGGGCCTCTTTGTCAAACCCCTCAAAGTCCATATAAGTCCATATCCTCACTATCATTATCACTATCACTGACTTGGGCCGGCTGTGGTGGGTGGCGGGTGAAGAACTCGGTAATGTTTTGTTAACTGGGCGACCTTGTGCGCACCCTGCTCGCGCCGCTCTCCGCGTAAAAGGGTACACACACCGCGCAAAGTGAGCATTCCAGTTTCGGCAGGGTACCGCGTAAACGTGGAAACGCGTAAAGTGGGACCGCATAAAGCGAGGGTTGACTGTATAATATTTGTTAATATTGTTACTCAAAAATGAAAATAAGAGCAAACCAAATATAGTGGTAGAGCTCGGTAATTTGAGGATAATTTTTTTTTTTCCATATGAGCCAACTGCCATGGAAATGGTTGAGTTAGAAACGTGCCTCAAAAATCTGCTGCACTGAGTTCATGTACCCTGTATACCAAACATGTCACTTGCTGAACCAAGTTTTGGTGGAAATGTGAAAAAAGATCCAGTGGTTACTGAATGAAGGAAAACATAGCACAGTTAAATGGTATCTACAATATCAATAATTTTCCTGAGGAGTCGCAGTCCTAGTTTGAAATGTGGACCCAGCATCAAAATTCCAAGAAGAAAGCCTCATCTGATTCCGGTACAACCTTGTCCTTGATGGATCTTGTGAAGCAGTGTGATTTGATTCCTGCAACTTGAGAAGCTCTACTGATCTTGGCTCTTCCAGCCTCCACTTGTTAAGTTGAGCGGTCATTTAGCAGCACGCTGAGACGTGTTAAAATATGACACCAATGTCAACTGAACACTTGTCTGGATTGTGCAATGTGCATGCTCAGCGTGCATCACTAGAAGATGTTAAATAGAGAGAAAGCCTTCACTGAAGACGTGATTGATCATTTTGGAGCTGATAAGCGCCGCCTGCAGTATTTATTTGACCATTGAAAGTACAGTCGACCCTCGTTAATTCGGACTAATAGGGGGGAAGGGTGTCCGTTTTAGCTGATTGTCCGAATTAACCGATTTAGGGGTTAATATTGCATTATATTTCAAAGTCATTGTTTTCGTCATGATTTTATCCCACTTTCCACTGTAATACATACGTAATTTCAGCAAAAATATTACATTTCCTTGAATGTATTATATCAAGCACAGTATGAATAGAATACCATTGTAATATAACAGTATTTTAACCGAAAACTACTAAAAAAACGAATAACATCTCAAGAACATCGGAAGCTTAGGTAAAGTCTTTTGTTTTCGTCATGTATTTTATCCTATTTTACATTGAAATACATCACGTTTCAACAAAACTACTGTTTATTTCCAAGAATATATTCATTCAGGCGCAGTTTAGGTAAAATATACGTGTGATGTAACAGTTTTCTAACTGAAAACGATTCGAAAAACACGTACCCTCTAGCCCTGTTCAAGGAGAGGACTGGGAGAAGCTGTTTGGTGCTGCAGATGATGACAAGGAAAATGATTTGGATGAATTTTAATGAAAATATTCAGAAATATGGTATCGTAGTATTTATTCAAGTCAATTAGGATAGAATATTATTGTAATACAACAGTTTTTTAACTGAAAACCAATCGAAAAGCGATTACGGTAACATCTTTTGAACGAAAGAAAGCGAAAGTCATTGTTTTCGTCACGATTTTATCCTATTTTACATTAAAATACATCACGTTTCAGCAAAACTACTATTTATTTCCGAGAATATATTCATTCAGGCACAGTTAAGGTAAAATATACATGTGATGTAACAGTTTTTTAACTGAAAACGATTCAAAAAACACGTGTACCGTGTAGCTGATACTCAACAGCTGGTGGTGCGTCATGTGTCGTTGTAAACAATAGGAGGTTGAAGTAGATTACCGGGTATTATATTAAGTGTGAAATTTCAAAAAGGTTTTTATTACCGGTATTTTTTGTAGATCAATGAGAACTGTGATACCGTATATGATATGATAAGTTAGCCTGTGCTATGAACTTCAACATAGACTACTGAAAACACGTTGTAAGGTAATTTAGCCTATTGTAAGTTGGTGAGCTTCATTTGCTGAAGGAACTGCACAACGTTTCATTACTAATTGGTACAAATTTTACGTTTCCATTGCTTACTGGCAGTAAATGGTAAATATTTTTCATGTCTGAAGCTAAAAGTTGCATCCCCCCCCACACTAGTGGTGGAGATGTTACATTTGACCAAAAAGACGCTGGTGTTTTATCCCAGCAGTGGGTGGACCAGCATTTTAGCTTAAGGTCCGCATAGGTAATATTCCTACAAAAAAAAAAAAAGTTCGTTCGTTCAGATTTTGTCCGAATTATCCGAAATCCGGATTAAAGGGGTCCGAATTAACGAGGGTCGACTGTACGCTACTAATGTTCTGAGCAAGTTACCAGCGTGAAAGACAGCTAGCATTAGCCATCCCTAGATTTTTGGTGATTAAAGATATCAAATTAATTATTTTGGTTATTTTTAATGCATATGGTCAACCCTATGATAATTTTAGTGATTAATATTTTAATGATGTCAGTGATAAGTGATACTGTAGATCAAACACTAGTGCTGAGTCAGGTCTTGTCCTGCTCTCTTGCAACCCCCACCCCAGGAAAGAAATCTGCGGATGCACATGTATACTATGACTTAACCCCTTGAGTGCTTTATAAAGTCTATTCACATCATAATACTGAATCATTGTTGAAGGGTTTAAGGTATTGTGCTCAAAAGGGTAAGTCAAGTCATCATAATCAAGGGGTTGTAATTAGGTTGTCATCCAATTCAAGGGGTTGTCATCCTACTCATGGGGTTAAAGACCTTAGCTGTTGAAATGCATTAATGGATTATAACATCAAGAGTCCTGCCACCCATGATATCCTCCACCTGTCAAGTGTTTACCATAACCTGCTGCAGGATAACTCAACACCCAGCACAGTACGGCACGGCATTATTGTCTTTTAAAGGTTATTCTTTACATGGATGGTTTGACTGTTCTCTTTCATAATCGTACCTGGAAGTCCACCACCTTTATTCAAGTCATTCTTTCATAGTTAGTCATATTAACTTCTTTCAAAAACTGGGGTTGATTTACACATGACGTGAACTTATACTTTAATCTTTTTGGAAGAGTGAATTAAAGTTTGAATTCTTTCAGTGATGAACCTTGATGGTAAGAACTGTACAGCTTAGGGGTAGGAATGGGGCAGAAGCAGCTTAAGGGGAGTAGAATCAGTACAGGAACCATGCCCAAAGATGGAAACAGAATGGGTGGTGAAAGCAGTTAAAAAATGAAGATTGGAAAGGCAGCTGGAAGCTCTAGGATAGTTACAGAAATGCTAAAAGCCTCAGGTGATGTAGGTGTGTCACTAGTGTCTGAATTCACTATTGCAATCATTATGGAATGTACTTTACTGTTCCAGACAACTGGAGGAAGTGTGTGTTTAGTAATACTTAGAAGGGTAAAGGTGAGCGTGGGAACTACATACAGTCTGCCAGATCGAGTTATGGAAGTTGTAGAAAGTGTAATTAAGAAATTGATGAGAGAGAGAGTAGACAAACAAAATGGTGTTTGGTTTTTGGCCAGGTTGGGGGTCTACAGGGGTAATATAGCCAGGCAACTATCAGAAAAATATCTTGGGAAGGAGAGAAAATTGTACTTTGTATTTGTAGATTTGGAAAAGGCATATAACAAGAGTACAGTGTGAAGTACTGTAGTAAAGTGGTTGATGAGAAGGCAAAGAGTTGAGGAGTACCTTGTTTGGGTGGTTATGGCATTATATGAGGGCTCAAAAACCTCTGTGAGAATAAATGGTGAGGAATTTGAGATAAAAGTAGAAGTCTATATCAGGTCTGTTTTGACCACCCTCTGTTTATCATGGTGGTGGAGGCAATATCACAGACTTTTGAACTTTTGTTGTAGTCTGATGACAGAGAGTATTGAAGTGGTTTGGGTGAGCGACTCTTAGCGGAAAATATTCATGTGCTGTCAGTAAGAAAGGTGTTCTCAATAACAAAAAAATGTGCCGACAAATATGGAAGGTGGGTACACAAGAGGTGCATTAGAATAGGTTGCAGGATGATGCTGACTTAAAAGTGTTCTTTATACATAGTATGTGCAAGTAACTGTGTGGTCATAGCAAACCTGGAGAAACTGGACATTGGTGACATGTCCCTGGAATGTCACAGTTCTGCTGCCTGGCTGACATGGTTTGTGCTGGTGAGGGTGCTGAAGGAAGATTAGGGCATTGTTGCCTTTATTGACAGCAAGATCTTCCCTATGCATGAAAGGAAGAATACATGTGGCTGGTGTGAGAAATGTGATGTTGTATGGCAGTGAAACATGGACTTGAGTAAGCTAAAATGAGAATGGTGAGGTTGATGTGTAATGTGACACTGAAAGACAGGAGGCCTTGATCAGAGTTAAGAGGATGGCTGGGAGTGGGTATTGAGAGTATTGGCAAAGTCCTGTGTAGAGGCAGGCTGAGATGGTTTGGGCATATGGAGAAAATGGATGAGACTAATTGAGTCAAGAGGTACATGAGTCTAAATGTGGAAGGGAGAAGAACCAGAGGTGGGCCAAGAATGACATGGGGAGAGGTTGTAAGAAATGATATTAAAGTTAAGAACCTGACATGAGAGGCTGCAAGAGGCCATGCAGCATGGAGGGCTGCCATCAGATAGCCATGGCTAACTCTTGCATGCATGGAAAATGGCTGGTAGACCTTGACTAAGATAAAAGTATAGAAACAATAGGCAGGAAGCTTCAGATTCATCTTTGGTTGAGGTTAACATAAGGGCATCTACAATAGTGTTTTAATGGGTTATTGTTATTTGGTGTGATACAATGGCTATGACAGAACTGATTGTTTATAAGATGTACAGTAGTTGTGATCACATATTATTGTCACCATGACCATCTTCCTCTCCCCAGAGACTGGCAATCTGTGCGGCAACAGTCATGTTCACGCTCAGTCAAGACCGCCTTAATATGGATTTGGATCGTGACTCTCTCGAGTTGATGCTAAACCTTCTTGACACTGATGCTGACACTTCAGACGTTGTCGCCTCGGTCGATGTCGCCTTTGTCACCCAGAATAAGAAAAAGATTCGGGAACTATGCCGAGACATGCAGAAGAAAGGCCATGCAAAGCACCTCAACCTTGACAACATCAATGTGAGTTAATTATTAGATTTTGTTTTACTTTGTTACATTACAGAAGGTGTTTGAAGGCAGTGCTGGTCCCACGGTCTTATGAAGGAGTCGGTGTTAATGCGGGATACACTTTGTTTTATCACAGTGATGAGTGACAAGTCATTGAGTAAGTAAATACCTGTACTACAGATTGTAAATATAATGAGTCCAGATTGAAGTGAATGGTGAAACTAGGCAATTGTATGGTGTGTAGGTTTGATTTATGTATTGTCTAAGTATTAATATTTCTTGTAATACCTACTATATTTACTGTACCTGCTTTTATTGTACCATCAAAACCATTTTATCGGAAATTATCACGTAAATAGATAAAATTACTATTGCAATAAATGTAATTGCCAACTAGACATAATCCTGACAGCTCTGGTCTCTATTCAACCTTATTACTGTTCAACCCATGTTGGACTGCTCCCCCATTATACTTATGTTTTTCAATTCCACCATAATTTATGTACAGGTATATATAATTAAATAAAAAAAAATAAACTAAAAAAAAATAATAAATAAATAAAATTAATAAATATTTAAGTGATAACCGTGGTAACATTATGAGATGTTCTTGTTACCACCATGCTATTGTACTATTCCAGATGTTACTAAATGTTACATAATACTTCCTTGAGATAAATGTATATATATCAGGTGCCTCAAAGAGAGCTCAGGTTCTCAACTGGCTCAACCATGTTAATATTGTTATTATTATCCACTCTGTATCTGTGTTTTTCTGGCTAAATAAACTGATTCAATTCAATTCAAATTCAGTTTAAATAGCTGTGAAGAATTGTATTGGAAAGTATGTATGAGATATGGCAGGTTGCATGGTGGTGGTAGTCTTGGTTTGTATTTGAAAATGGTTTCCAAAAACATGGGAATGGAGCTGAAAACAAGGGGCCTAGTGTCCAGATAAGGATTACTAATTACTGGTGTAAGTTGAAGTTTTAACTGTAATAATGACTATTATTTTACAGGCGGGTAACCTAGCCATGGAGACTCTCCTCAGTCTAACTTCAAAACGTGCAGGAGAATGGTTTAAGGAGGAGCTTCGAGAGCTTGGGGGAGTGGAACACCTGGTACGCACCATCACCCACTGCACGCAGCTTTTCTCCCCAGACTTGGACACTTGGACCCATCCGCTGCTGGAGAAGTTGTCTAAGGTCGACCGCTGCCTCAAAGTCTTAGAAAATGTGAGTAAAGTCAATAATGTAATTTATTGTCACCATTTTACGGCCATTTTCCATGCTTGTGCGGGTTAGCTGGGATTGGCCAATGTCATTGTGTCCCAGTTCCCATCGTGGAATTTGGAAAAAGTAGTGTAGTGAATTTATGAGTTATGAGAGAGGAAATGACTGATTTTGAGTACAGGTATTTAGTCTGGTATTGGAATTTGCCTTCAAGGATTGTTTGAGTCTTTAATTAACAGAGGAAGGTCAGAGGCTGATATACTGTACAGTATATGTGCTGTACTGCACATGTGGCCACTCCATTGTATCATAGAGCAACATTACATTAAACTGTACATGTAGTTTTTACATTTAGAACTTAATTGTGTAAAATCTATGAAATTTGATGATACAGTAGTACCCCACTTAACGCGGTCAATTGAACCCACAGGGTACCATGTTAAGTGAAAACCGCGTTAAGTGAACAACAGAACATATGGGATTAATTCCAATAGAAACTGGCCGGACCCCCAAACTCTACTTTTCGGACACAATACCTATGTTCTAGTAAAAATAACATCTTAATTTTATGATGGTACATGCACACAATTAGTACTTAAGAGAAATAGAGAAATACAGTCGCCAAGTTAATGTCCATTCAAATAATGGACTCAACTCCCTCCCCCTCTTCTCACACTACACTCCCTGGCTCTTCCCTCTCTGAGAAATTTTGGGGTGAAAACCACTAAATTTTAATAAATAAAACCTCAAACTAAAGTTAGGATAATATAATTGACATTGCTGGATTCCTTGTAAGACCAGGAATATTTTGAATATAAATGTCATATTTTGCACAAAAGATAACATATTTACTCAGAGTAAACATTATATCTAAAATTTGTATGTCTAATGCAAAGTCTATGATGTTTATATTCAAAATGATCATCAAATTGTAAGAATTCCAGCAATGTAAATTATATTCTGGCCGGGTAATTTGTATGAATTTTATGAGCTAAAACAAATATCTTCAGTCCGTCCCAACCCTCCCCCCCCCCACCAATCCTCCCTTCAAGAGATGTTGGGTGAAAAAACTAAATTTTAACATTTAGTATTAAATAATACCTCAGATTAAAGTTAGGATAATATAATTGACATTGCTGGATTCCTTGTAAGACCAGGAATATTTTGAATATAAATGTCATATATTTTGCACAAAAGATAACATATTTACTCAGAGTAAACATTACATCTAAAATTTGTATGTCTAATGCAAAATCTATGATGTTTATATTCAAAATGATCATCAAATTATAAGAATTCCAGCAATGTAAATTATATTCTGACCGGGTAATTTGTATGAATTTTATGAGCTAAAACAAATATCTTCAGTTAATAAAAAAAAAAAAATATTCTTCACACGGTAACAGATGGTCGGTCGGTCCCTCCCTCCCCCCACCAGATGTGTGGGAAAACCAGAATATTTACCTTTTTAGTAATAAATAATACCTCAAACTAAAGTTAGGATAATATAATTGACATTGCTGGATTCCTTGTAAGACCAGGAATATTTTGAATACAAATGTCATATATTTTGCACAAAAAATAACATATTTACTCAGAGTAAACATTATATCTAAAATTTGTATGTCTAATGCAAAATCTATGATGTTTATATTCAAAATGATCATCATATTGTAAGAATTCCAGCAATGTAAATTATATTCTGGCCGGGTAATTTGTATGAATTTTATGAGCTAAAACAGGCAGGCAGGCAGGGTGGTGGGTGGGGCGAATCTAAAAATAGCTCTCGAGCGACCGCGTTAAGTGAAAGTTTGGCTCTGGGGAGGCACCATGTATACGTGAAATCGCGAAACAAACCGCGTTAAGCTGGGTATTACTGTATTTAAATTTAATTAGATTTGTTGAAATTTGTTGAATTTAAACCTTTTTTGCTTGTGATGAATCAGTTATGGAGCCAGCAAGTACTATTTAGTGTGTTGGTAGATTACTGGTTAAGTACAGTAGGTGATAGATTATATGAGAAATAAACTGTAGTAGTTCATTTCTTATATAATTATTGTTTGGCATGAAGAAGCCACACAAGGACATGACAGTACTGTACAGTACTCTAGCAGCTGTGAGTGATGTGTTGTTGGCTGTCCTTTGTGTGGCAGAAGTAAAAGTGAGACTTCAGGGCCGGCATTCAATTAGTAAAGAGTGTACGGTAGTATAAGCCTCAGACAAAATTGTATTTTAGTCATGACAATTAACCTTTGACCTTAAATTGCCTTAAGGCTGCTTCTTAATCAATGTCATTTCTCCAGCAAGAAGTGAATTTTATAATATTGTACAGTAAACCCTCGCACTTCCGGACAATTAGGGGGGAGAGGTTGTCCGGATGAACTGGGGGAGTTACTTATTCTTATGGGGAAAATTAGGATATGTTCCACAACAGTAATGCTATAAAAGTTATGGAAACATTATTACAATATACTGTAATGTGGGTTAGAAATGCAGGAGGTCCCTGACTTATGAACACCCTGATGAATTATTTTTACTTTTGTTTACTGTATTTTGTCATTCTATATTTTCTTTTGTCTTAAATTAAGTGATTTTAGATGTAAATAAGGACTCAGGATATGATATAGTGGAATTTTAAACATTGTTTTGTAAGTATGGTATGCACATAGCAAGTGTTCCAACTTACGAACGTCCTGACACTACACGATATTTCCACGATATATATATATATATATATATATATATATATACCAACTTACGAACGTCCTGACACTACACGATATTTCCACGATATATATATATATATATATATATATATATATATATATATATATATATATATATATATATATTTTTTTTTTTTTTTTTTTTTTTTTTAAATATCATGGTGTAAGGTGAAGAGGTGTGGTAGGAAATAAACCTCATGGACCCAAAATGGTTGTCGGGTGGGTGGGGCTTGTTTGTCTTAAGCAGTTATGTATTGGATTACTGTAATAGGTTCTCTGTAATTGCTTATAATAACTTCCATCACTCAGGTAACACACCAAAACACAGCCAATCAGGAGTACCTCCTGAAATTCCAGGGCGGCATTTTCCCTGAGAAGCTGGTAAGTCTGTACCGACTGTGCCACGTAGAAGTGCCCCTATATCCTGCCAGTGAGGCTCAGAACCAGAAGACAACTGTTGGGGGAGGGTCAACAGGCCAGCTACTAGTGCAGGCTCTCCTTACCACTATTAAAGTTCTCATCAACCTCACACACAACGCTGGCAAAGAAGGTAAGTATCGTATAGTATAGTATATAGTTCATGTAGCTTGTCACAGTTTGTTGTCTTAAATGACTCCTAGTTGTACAAATTGTTTACCAGAGGTGCTCTTATCACTCCATCAAATACAGGAGGTCCCCGGGTTACGTTCAGTCCGACTTGCGAACTGCAGCCGATACGAACGAGGTCCCCATAAAGTATATTATTTTAAGAATCCGACATAAGTACAACCATTCGTAGTAATGTATGAGAACTAGCTTGTGCGGTGGAGTGGTGGGTGAGGAGTGGAGCGTCACCCAGCCACACGCCTTGTAGTAGCGTCAGTACACCTTAGGCTCAGTAATGTGTGTGATCAAGTGCAATTTTTTTTTTTTTTTTTACTCATTAGCTCTATTTTTCTGCCCTCATCATGGCTCCCAAATGCAAATCTAATGCAAGTAATAGTAGTGCATCCAAGAAGAGGAAAACAATTAAAATAGAAGTGAAAGTTGATGTAATTAAACGTTCTGAAAAAGACAAACACCCTCAGTCATTGGTATAGTGTTAGGCTTCAGTCGGTCAACGGTCGGAAAAATTTTGATAAACAAAGACAAAAATTTTTAGTATGTAAAAAGATTACACCATTGCAGTCAACTGTGAGAACAAAATCGAAATGGAAAGATTGTTAGTGGTGTGGGTGGAAGATCAAAATCAGCGGCGTATACCTGTAAGCCTAGCCTTGAGTCGGGAAAAAGCAAGAAGCCAGCCCCAGCTTTCAACATAAGTGTTAAACTTTAAATTTAATGTTTTTAATTTACCCGATGACTTATTTTTTTACTTTCATTTACTGTATTTTGTCATTTTATTTCTTTTTTCTCTTAAATTAAGTAATTTTAGATGTGGTACACCTTAAATACATTTTCGACTTAAGAATGTCCGTAGGAATGTAACTCGTACGTAACCTGGGGACTGCCTGTACCGTATCTACTATTACTGTACTTATACGATTCTTAAGTACAGAACACTACTGGGATTTTATAACAGTAATTATAAGATACTGTCTGTATTTATTTTGAAGTATTATCACAAGATTTTCTCCAAAGTTTGATTATGTGTGACCTTGGTAATAATAAGTATTCATAGAACATAGTTTAACTCAGTGTTCATACTATAGTATACATCTCTATTGTGTGTATATACAGTACTGTAAACAAGAAGACAATATTATCTGATGTAAGATATCCACACAAGGTTATAACTTGTGTATCCTAATGCCTGTGAGTGATGATCAGGTGTTAATTGTGCTGTGTGTGGTAGACAAGAATGTGAGACTTCAGGGCCGATATTCTACTAGTTCAGATTATATGGTAGTATAAGTCTCAGACAGAATTAATATTTAATATTGTTTAATATTTTCTCTTAGTTATCACATTATTCCATCATCTTACTCTGGTCTAAACTCTCATTATCCTCTACAACTTACTTTCTTTTTGTCCTACCTGAGGAGTCTGTCTGTTGCTTGACCCTTTAGCATCTGGAGGTTTCCCCTCAGCTGGTGATGGCCACAGGAAAGGTTTAATACATTCCCCCTCACACTTTTTTACACACGGTTTTTAAAAAAATTTCTTAGATTAAGATTTTTGGATCATATGAAGTTTAGGCACCCCAGCTTATTTCACCTGATGGTTAAACACCCCAACCCAACCCAACATAATCCAACCTAACCCAACCTAACCTAACCCAGGTAGTGTTAGTGTGTTTAATCAAGAGGTGAAGAAAGCATGTGATCCATATACAGTACAGTATTAATATGTCTAACTAATATAACTTGTATCATGCCAACAGCTCTAGGTAGTAAAATATTGGGTCATCAGCAGGAAGTGTATGACATCACTCTCTATTGCCTTCTCATCATGCCAAGATATTTAGCACCTGAGAAGAAATTTGAGTTGCTGATCTTAGTAAGTAATTCTCTTTCTGGTAATATCCCAAGTGTTACTCTTTTTTTTTATTATTTAATTGTATAGTTTTGTTAATAGTGGTGAGTGTTGGATATGTTATTAGAAGAAGCAGTGTAGGGGGGGGAGGACTTAGGGTGGGGAGAGACCAGTAATATTGTATTCAAAACCATCCTCAGTTATAACATTTATGGATGACCTGAAGATTAACCTTTTACGATTATCACACATTCATGCTGAAACTCTAGCTACTTGTAGAAAAGTTGATTTAAAAGACGAAGAGTTGTAACTTGGTAAAATTGGAGGGTACTGGGTGCATTGATCTGATGATAGTTAAGTACTTTATACCTCTGAGGTCTGCTACTAATAAACATTATATTTTTCAGGCATGCTGTTTACTTCTCAATTTGGTGGAACACAGTAAAACAAATCGTAATTTTCTCATGAAAACAAATGCACCGGATTTTCTGAACAATGATGACAACAACATATTTGGTGGTAAGTACAGCGGCTGGATTATGTACTGTACTGTATTGTACTGTTATTATTGATTCAATAAATTATTGTAGGTAACCAATAAATAACTGGATGAGTGGACTATTCCTGGACATAAGATGTTCCTAAGCTGTTATGACTGGATGAGTGGGCCATTCCTGGACATAAGATGTTCCTAAGCTGTTATGACTGGATGAATGGGCCATTCCTGGACATAAGATGTTCCTAAGCTGTTATGACTGGATGAGTGGGCCATTCCTGGACATAAGATGTTCCTAAGCTGTTATGACTGGATGAATGGGCCATTCCTGGACATAAGATGTTCCTAAGCTGTTATGACTGGATGAGTGGCCCATTCCTGGACATAAGATGTTCCTAAGCTGTTATGACTGGATGAGTGGGCCATTCCTGGACATAAGATGTTCCTAAGCTGTTATGACTGGATGAATGGGCCATTCCTGGACATAAGATGTTCCTAAGCTGTTATGACTGGATGAGTGGGCCATTCCTGGACATAAGATGTTCCTAAGCTGTTATGACTGGATGAATGGGCCATTCCTGGACATAAGATGTTCCTAAGCTGTTATGACTGGATGAGTGGCCCATTCCTGGACATAAGATGTTCCTAAGCTGTTATGACTGGATGAGTGGGCCATTCCTGGACATAAGATGTTCCTAAGCTGTTATGACTGGATGAATGGGCCATTCCTGGACATAAGATGTTCCTAAGCTGTTATGACTGGATGAATGGGCCATTCCTGGGCGTAAGATGTTCCTAAGCTGTTATGACTGGATGAGTGGGCCATTCCTGGACATAGATGTTCCTAAGCTGTTATGACTGGATGAGTGGGCCATTCCTGGATGTAAGATGTTCCTAAGCTGTTATGACTGGATGAGTGGGCCATTCCTGGACATAAGATGTTCCTAAGCTGTTATGACTGGATGAGTGAGCCATTCCTGGACATAAGATGTTCCTAAGCTGTTATGACTGGATGAGTGGGCCATTCCTGGATGTAAGATGTTCCTAAGCTGTTATGACTGGATGAGTGGGCCATTCCTGGACATAAGATGTTCCTAAGCTGTTATGACTGGATGAGTGAGCCATTCCTGGACATAAGATGTTCCTAAGCTGTTATGACTGGATGAGTGGGCCATTCCTGGATGTAAGATGTTCCTAAGCTGTTATGACTGGATGAGTGGGCCATTCCTGGACATAAGATGTTCCTAAGCTGTTATGACTGGATGAGTGGCCCATTCCTGGACATAAGATGTTCCTAAGCTGTTATGACTGGATGAATGGGCCATTCCTGGACATAAGATGTTCCTAAGCTGTTATGACTGGATGAGTGGGCCATTCCTGGACATAAGATGTTCCTAAGCTGTTATGACTGGATGAGTGGGCCATTCCTGGTTATAAGATGTTCCTAAGCTGTTATGACTGGATGAGTGGGCCATTCTGGACATAAGATGTTCCTAAGCTGTTATGACTGGATGAGTGGGCCATTCCTGGACATAAGATGTTCCTAAGCTGTTATGACTGGATGAGTGGGCCATTCCTGGACATAAGATGTTCCTAAGCTGTTATGACTGGATGAGTGGGCCATTCCTGGACGTAAGATGTTCCTAAGCTGTTTGGATGAGTGGCCCATTCCTGGACGTAAGATGTTCCTAAGCTGTTATGACTGGATGAGTGGGCCATTCCTGGACGTAAGATGTTCCTAAGCTGTTATGACTGGATGAGTGGGCCATTCCTGGACATAAGATGTTCCTAAGCTGTTATGACTGGATGAGTGGCCCATTCCTGGTCGTAAGATGTTCCTAAGCTGTTATGACTGGATGAGTGGGCCATTCCTTGACATAAGATGTTCCTAAGCTGTTATGACTGGATGAGTGGGCCATTCCTGGACGTAAGATGTTCCTAAGCTGTTATGACTGGATGAGTGGGCCATTCCTTGACATAAGATGTTCCTAAGCTGTTATGACTGGATGAGTGGGCCATTCCTGGACATAAGATGTTCCTAAGCTGTTATAATGGGACAGAACACAATGAGAGAAGAAGATTACATATAAGTAGGAGAAGTATAGAGAGTAGGAATGTAAAGATAGGAAACTGGTAGCGTGGCCGGGATGTTATTTACTCAGCGTCAATACGCTTATCTTATCTCGTATGTCAATACACATATATTACTTCTTAAAGGGACAACTTGTTAAGCACCTCTTCGGTACAACTATTTATTAATTCACTCAATGACATGGACATATTAATATCACTATTATATCGGGGTACTAACACATTATGTTTTACGTTACTCGACACTGACTCTCGGACACAGCTGAATGAATACACTTCCCACAGTAGGTAACTCACCCTAGGAATCGTTCTGACAAGACTCACGTGTACCCTGACGTAGGCCCAGTGGATGCTTGGCTGGGCTGCCTCCTATGGGAGGCTTCTGCTTAGCTGGGGTCTGGTCGGGAGGTCCCCCTCCCGACCTGGGGAGAGGACAAGCATGACTCTGAGAATCTCCAGAGTAATGTTCGAATGGCAACCAGAATCAGAATGATAATCAGGACCAGAATCAGAACCAGAATGATCGTGGACGGGACTGTAGGGCCTTTATATAGGGTCGGCCCAGCCGGCTTTTGACCTCTAACCAATTATCACTAAACTGGTTTGATCTGGATAGCTGTGTGCAGGTGTGGTCCTGCCCAGGTGTCTTGGTTAGGTGAGGTTGTTGGTCACCCGGCTAACTCACGTCATTAGCGGGCGAGGTCAAGTCCCTAGGGTCGACCTGAGGTGTGTCAACCCGGAATGTGGTGGTACCACGAGGTCTGTAGTGTACTTGCTGTTATATGTGACATAATTCTGGGCTGTAAGCTTTGGTCTGACAATCAATCATTACACTGTTATGACTGGATGAGTGGGCCATTCCTTGACATAAGATGTTCCTAAGCTGTTATGACTGGATGAGTGGGCCATTCCTGGACGTAAGATGTTCCTAAGCTGTTATGACTGGATGAGTGGGCCATTCCTGGACATAAGATGTTCCTAAGCTGTTATGACTGGATGAGTGGGCCATTCCTGGACCTAAGCTGTTATGACTGGATGAGTGGGCCATTCCTGGATGTAAGATGTTCCTAAGCTGTTATGACTGGATGAGTGGGCCATTCCTGGACATAAGATGTTCCTAAGCTGTTATGACTGGATGAGTGAGCCATTCCTGGACATAAGATGTTCCTAAGCTGTTATGACTGGATGAGTGGGCCATTCCTGGATGTAAGATGTTCCTAAGCTGTTATGACTGGATGAGTGGGCCATTCCTGGACATAAGATGTTCCTAAGCTGTTATGACTGGATGAGTGGGCCATTCCTGGACATAAGATGTTCCTAAGCTGTTATGACTGGATGAGTGAGCCATTCCTGGATATAAGATGTTCCTAAGCTGTTATGACTGGATGAGTGAGCCATTCCTGGATATAAGATGTTCCTAAGCTGTTATGACTGGATGAGTGAGCCATTCCTGGACATAAGATGTTCCTAAGCAGTTGTCACAGAGAAAAATGCTAACTCCCCTCACATGGAGGAATTTTTTTGTCATTTATAAGATCACATAATTTTTTATTTTATTTTTGGGGGGGGGGATGTGAATTGGTTATTTAACCGTTATTTTGTACTGCTCGAAGATTATTATTATTACAGTATTTATTTTCGCCCCCCAGGCCCTGATGTGGGTCAGTGACCTGTACCTGGGTGGGCTAATACCCGTAAAAAAAAAAAAGAAGAAAAAAAGTTTCCTATTTCTATATTATGTATTGCTAAAAGTTATGTTCCCTAGTTTCTTTACAGAATATTTAAATGGGCTAGTGACTAGTTCTATTTTTTCATTGTAGAATATGTATATGCAGAAAATAAAAGCTATGTTTATTCTTAAATTTTCTGACAATGAAGTATAATCGTACATTTCTGATGTCGCATTAAATTCTGTTTAACTCAGTGCTGACTTATTTTGGCTTGGTACACCTGTGGCTGATTACTTGCACCATTAAGTGGCCAACTAGTGTATATAGGTTGTGGACCCCTGATGTAGGATAACATTTCTATAAGTAGTTTTGGAAAGGAAACAAAATTAGTGATTTTCAGGTATTGTGGTAGAATATAGGTTGGTGTCATGTATATACAGTAATACATAGCATGAAGGTTCTAGTGTTGTATATTTACTTCTCCCATTTGATGTGTGTGTAATAGGTCTATGTAAATGGTTGAATAGAGTAGATGGTGTATGTTGTAAGTCACATGATCCGTACTGCTCTAATTTTGACACAGGCATGAGTGAAAAGAAGGGCGCCATGCAGGCCTTGATAGAGCTGTTCTACCGTAGTGAGGAAAGTGCACGGCAGCAGGAGGCACACACCAATGAGATCATCGACCATGACCTCACGGAGCAGAGCAAACAGAAAGAAGACGAGAAAAAGGAAGACGAAATTGAGGAAACTGTTGCTAAATGTGAGTGTAACTGTTAGGTGGTTAATGTTGTGTAATATGTTATCTCTCTTGTTACGGTGGTAGTTATATTTTCAGTCTCATGATCCTTGGAACTCGGTTCATTTGGCCAAAAAGTTGTCATAAAAATTAATTAATATAAAAATGAATGAATCATTAGACTTGTTGTATCAGCCGTGTCTGTACTTGTTTTAAAGTTTTTAACAATATGATCCCTCTCTTATGGTTTCTGTTCTTCCTCACCCATCCCTTGTATAGTATATAGTATACAGTAAACCCCCGCTTTACGCGGTTTCACTTTACACGTTTACGCGGTGCCCTGCCGAAACCGGAATGCTCACTTTCCGCGGTGTGTGTGCCCTTTTACGCGGAGAGCGGCGCGAGCAGGGTGCGCACAAGGTCGCCCAGTCATCAAAACATTACCGAGTTCTTCACCCACCACAGCCGGCCCAAGTCAGTGATAGTGATAATGATAGTGAGGATATGTACTTACATGGACTTTGAGGGGTTTGACAAAGAGGCCCTGCAAGCCTCTGTGGTGGATAGTGATACAAGTGATACAGGTGAGGGCCAATAATCTGCCCTCTGCCTCGGAACCAACCCCCCATCCCCGTGTGCCCAGCCATCTTTTCTACTAATGTAAGTGTTAAAAAGCCTAATATTATTGATATTTCTCTTAATTATTAATTGTGTGTGCATACCATCATAAAATTAAGAAGTTATTTTTACTACAACGTAGGTATTGTGTCTGAAAAAGTGGAGTTTGGGGGTCGGCCCGGTCTCTATTTCAATTAATCCCATATGTTATGTTGTTCACTTTACGCGGGCCGCCGTGGGTTCAATTGACCACGTAAAGTGAGGGTTTACTGTAGTATATGATATAGTATAGCACACCCACCTCTCGTTTTACGTGGGGGTTAGGTTCTTGAAAGTCACCGCTTAATTCAAAAACGCGTAAATTAAACATATTTTACCTATAAGAATACATGTAAATGGTACAGGTTAGGGGAACCATTGTATACCGTACAGGGTAACTCATAATAAATATTCTTTTACCTTCCCCAGTCATAAAGAAAACCAGTTAATAAAGAAAAACAATAGTAAACACATCTTAAATAACACTTACATTGATGACTGGCTTGACAAAGGTTGGGTAGGGGAGGGAGGCTACTGAGGCAAGGGTACGGGCGAGTGATCACATCTAACATGACATCTATTGTGATTGTTTTTCTTACCATTTTAGCTTTAGGCTCACCAGAGGAGGCAGATGAATGTTTTCCAGACATGCTTGATGGGGAAAACAGTGTTTAACACTAAAAGATAAGCGATAAACACACAAACTGAGAAAGCAGTACGCGGGAAGTTTGCTGTAAATACTAAACAGCTGGACGCCATCACAATTGTTGTACAGAACCTTATACAGTAAGATCTCATATTTCGTGTTTTTTAATTTCACGAGCACTAGGAATAAAACCAAGCGTAATTCATCGCAGAATGTCACTTCAATACGGAAGCAATTGCATCAGTTGAACAAACATTTACAAGTGGCTTGAACAATTCAAGAATAATTGAACAAGCATTGTGGACGGAAATCTGTAGAAGTTTCAACACCCACATTGCACTTGAACTTTGAGCAGAAAATTTTAGAAAACCGATGTAGCCCGCATGCAGTCTAGATCTCGTAACATCAGACTACCACATGTTTAGTCCACTCAAATCAGCATTACGTGGAAATCTCTTTTCATATTATGAAGAGGTGAAGAAAGAAATCAGAAATGTGTACAGGAAAAAAACTCATAGAAAGATGGGACAAGTGCATAGCTGTAGAGGGAGATGATGGAAAAATAGGTTTGTGATCATTAATAATAAATCATCACTGCTACATTTACATTTATTTTTCCCATTACTTATTGAATGACCCTTGTTTTTTTTGTTTTTTCATTTCAGTGTTACAAAAAGCTGGTCACCACATGGAAGACACGCTCATAGCTGCCTACACTGCCCTACTAACTGGATACTGCATAATGGAAGATGAGGTAGGTACCTTACCGGCACATTAAGGTCCTCGCTACTGAAGGATGTGTGTTCTTGAGAAACTGTTTGTCTGGTGAATTCTTGCTAAACTGGGTCCGTTGTCCTGTGGGATCCTGTCTGAAAGGCTTAGATGTGTTCCAGCCCCAAAATATATGACCAATGTTATAAACAGCATTGACCTCCAGCCCAAACAATTTCAACCCTAAATTTAACCAGATAATGTTATACTTGAATACTGATGTCATAGTGAAAGCTGTTTAAGAGTGTATATATATCCCCAGAGCTGAAGACTTATGCTGGTGGTGGTTGATGTGGCATTGTTGGTGCAGAAAACAGGTGTACATGTGTTTGTGCTGTAATAGATTGGCTTAAAAAAAAAAAAGGCTCCCTCCCTCCCCCCTATCTTGACTGTCATCTGCCACCAACACCACTACCTCCTGCCAAAGATATTTATACAGGAAACATAATTTTGCCTGGGTATTCTTTGTTACTTAGGGCTTTGGTGATGTCTGGTATGACATACTGTCTTTTTGGCCCTAGTCGGAGGTCTCTCTCTCCTGTACTGTACAGTATCTGGCTAACTGGGGACTTTCCAAGGCAGGGTTAAATTTATCTTAGTCCCTTATAACACATTTCATTGGCTAATTCTATAACTCTGGGCTGTCATTGGGTAACTGTAAACCTCCCTTTTTAGAGAGCTCAGGTTACTAAGAACATACATACTGTATTCCTTGGAAAGTAAACTATTGGGAATATTGTGTTTTCTCAGGGCAGCATTTACAAATAGTTAGACATTTTAACTGAATCAATATGTGTTTTAGTGGACTGGACTAGGTCATAAATTTTGTTTTGAACACACACACACACATATACATACATACATACATACATACATACATACATATACAGACACACACACACACACACACACACACACACACACACACACAGTATTCCCTTAGGTTTTATGTTGAACGTACAGTGGTCCCTCGGTTAACGAGCACAATCCGTTCCAGCAGGTTGCTCGTTAACCGAAACCATTGTTTCAATGGGTTTTTGGGTAATTGGTTCCAGCTCACCGAAAATTGCCCTAAATTCAACAAAAATTTTAGAAATGGACACTTACCTTGAGGTGTGTATGTAGAAGGCTCTTGGATGATGATGCTGATGTGAATTTTAAGTGGGAGGAGGAGGAGAAGAGAAGGAAGTGGAGGTGGAGGAGAAGCATTTTACTGCTTCTTGGAAGGTGAGTCACCTTCCATGAAAATGTCAGGAACCTCTGGACTGACAGATTCTCCACCATGAACATCCTCTCCTTCTTGAAGTGGAAGGCTGAGGAATAGCATCTTGTTCTTTCTGCCTTTTACTGAAGAACGTGTCAATTGTGGTCTGTGGGGCATCTCTCCTCCTTATGTTTAAAGAAGGAGACCATTGAGTCCTCAACATGACACAAAGTTAGTTCAGTTTTTTCCACATCTGGGTGCTTTGAAGCCAGTTCCCTGAACTTTTCCCAGTGGTAAATCACACCTTTCAACTGTTTAGTTGACATATGGTCATCACTTTCAATTTCCTCCTCACCACTGTCAGCCTCTACCTGTAACATCTTATCCAGTTGATTCAAGTCATCAGGAGTAAGTTCCTCCTCATGAGACATCACAAGCTCTTCGACATCATCCTCCTCCACTTCAAGGCCCAATGACTGACCAATGGACACAATCTCCTGGTCCAACTCTGTGTCATCCTGAAATCCCTCAAAGTCATGGACTACTGATGGCCACAGTGCTTTCCATGAAGAATTGAGGGATCTAGTGGAGACTTCTTGCCATGATGACACAATCAATTTTACAGCCTCCAGGATGTTGAATTGTGTCTTCCAGAACTGTTTCAGTGTTAGTTCAGGATCATTGGAAGTTGCCTGATGACACCTCCTAAACATTTTCTTCATGTACAACTTCTTGAAGTTGCTGATCACATTCTGGTCCATTGGCTGTATGATTGATGTAGTGTTGGGAGGCAAAAACAACACTTTCACAAAGTCAAATTGATACTCCAAATTTCTGGCAAGTTCAGGGTCATGATCAGGAGCATTATCCATGAGGAGAAGAGCCTTTAAAGGGAGTTTATTGGTGGTTAGGTAGCTCTTGACAGAAGGGCAAAACACATCAACAGCCCATTCATTAAAGAACTGTCTTGTCACCCATGCCTTACGGTTGGACTTCGAATAAACTCCAAGCTTTGTTCTTACCACTTTCTGTTGCTTGAACACCCTGGGGTTTTCAGAGTGGTAGACAAGCATAGGCTTCAGTCGGAAATCCCCTGAAGCATTGGCACCAAGCAATAGAGTGAGACGGTCTTTCATGGGTTTATGCCCAGGCAAAGAGGCTTCATCTCTGGTGATGAATGTTCTTTTGGGCATCTTTTTCCAGAACAGCCCAGTTTCGTCCACATTGAACACTTGCTGTGGAAGATAATTTTCTTCTTCCATCAGTTCTTTAAATTCCACTAAAAACTTTGCTGCCCCTTCCTTATCAGCACTAGCAGCTTCACCATGCCTAACAACACTGAAAATGTCACTTCTTTTCTTAAATTTTTTGAACCAGGCTTTGCTGGCCCAAAAATCTTCAAATTCTGTGCCTGAAGAACCAGGTTGATCTGTCTTTAAATGTTCGTAAATCTCCCTGGCTCTTTCACAAATGAATTCAGTAGAAACTGAATCACCTTTCATCTGTTTTCCCTAATCCAGATGAGAAGTAACCTCTCAGTTTCTGCAATTAGGGATCTACTTTTAAACACTGGTAGATTTGTCTCTCACTTTCACTTCTTTAAATTTGTCTTTCTGTGCAAGAATTGTCGACACAGTTGATGTCGACATGCCATATTCTTTGCATAGCGCATTTGTTCTAATGCCTTGTTCATGTTTTTTTATAATTGCCTGCTTGGTTTGGATTTAAATCGCTTTTCTTGATCTCTTAAGGCCCCGTGCTGGATTCAGACAATATCAACACGTGATATTTTAGGTATAAACTTGCTGTAAATAAAGAATATTTTCTTTAAAATAACACTGCACTGCGCTATATATTGTCAATATGTAAAATAAATTTCAAAATGACCAATAATTTGCTTGGAAACACAGAAAAAAAGCATTTAGTTGATGAGAGTCTCAAGCAAGATGTTAGCTCCACTGAAAACAGAGAGAGACTAACGCCTGTTTGCTGTGTTAAGAGGCTGGATGGCGCACATAAAACTAGTCACTTTACCTTCAATTATGTTCAATAATTGTTAAAATGACGAAAAAATTTAATATTAAACTTTTGAAATTATTGAATAGTATAAACTTCTTGATATTTACTAAAATAGTAAGGAATTTAAGCCCTAGAACCGATTACTGTATTGGCGAACTAATACTACAACTGTTGGACCGCCAAGTGCAAGCGAAAACTTGTTGAAGTCGGCTCGTAAGAAACTCGTTAACCGAAGTTAAGAATCTTATGGGAGGTAACTTGTTAACCGAGGGATCACTGTATTGGAGAATGTCCTCCCACTCCTCTATAAGAAATGTAGAGGTGGGTGAGGATCAAGTAACCAAATTGTCCCAACAGTATGTTTACTCTCGGGCAGCCACCATTAATGTGGAACCATACATACTCCAGTGTTATGTCACAATGGAAGAATGGAACTACAGTAGTAGTACAGTGAACCCTCGAAGATTCAGACCCGGTAAATCTGGATTTCGGAAGATTCGGACAAAATTTGGAGATTAAGAAGCCTCCCTAAGAATCATTCCCAAAACAGGGTAAAGATCATATTAGGCCGTGTAACTAAGCTGTCAGTGTGTGGGACACAAGTGCCCAAGGAGTCGGGAAACATAAACAAGAGTTGTCAATTGTTTTCTGTGGGGTAATATTATTTCTTTCACTCTTGTAATGATACATTGTTTCTTATTATTTTGTCGGATGTAAATGCATGGTTTATATAAAATATTTTATCACTGTGTCTGTCACCATTTTCAAATTAGACTGCAAGATATGCATTTCTCCCATATGTATTTCCATCATACCCCTGGCAACGGGAGCGAGTGGGGGAGTGATAGTTAGCGCATCATCTGCTGTTGTAACTCTCCTTGCTCCCTGACATATTACACTGGATTCACTGTTATTATTAGTGTTTATTTACTCATACAGTACAATATTGCTTAATACTGTAGTGATTAATCATGGCATTGCAGCCAAGTTTGACTAGTCACTGTAACCACCAGGCTACTAGGCAAAGCTGTTAGGTGTTATGGTTCTTCAGTAATTCCCGGATAATTCGTGGATTTTTATTTCGCGAATGATACCCTGGATGTACCCAAGAATGTCTGCAGGTAGTTTTAAAGTTGCCGGCATTTTTGTGGCCAGGACAAGGAGCCATTCGTTCTAGAGACAGTAATTTCCTTTACCTGCATTGTATATATATGTGTGTGTGTGTAGACACACACAAAACACTTACAAAATAAATAATACTGTAATGGGAAAATCCTTTAACAAATAATCAGAAACAATTGTAGTATTAAAAATGTTGAGTCTACCCTTAAGTTTACTCTGCTTTATTATTAATAAATCATGGAGTAGACTTGAGGGTCTAAGGAAAAAAAGTGAATCTATTGGTATATCCTTGGCTAGCTGGATTCTTTCAAGAAATCAGACATAACTCTGGTTGTCGACAACTGTTCTCAATGATGTGACAGTTTGGAACTGTAAAGTATTATATGTAAGTACAGTACTGGTAACTACAGAAATGGTGAAAAGTCATTTAAATGTACAGGGTACTTGTGTGCCTTATGAATACAGTCGTCCTTCGGTTAACGAACACAATTCGTTCCACAGAGTCGTTCGTTAAGCGTGGGTGGGTGGCTCCTTCCTCCAGGTCCCCTTTAAGATGTCCTTATGTAATTTCATTATAATTCCCATATTATTTAGGTTCATTTGGTTGGGATGATATAATACTATTGTAAAATAATCAACTTTCCTGAGAAAAAAATATCCCTCACTCGAACCCAGTGAGTCATTGGGTTGTATTAATCACTGGTCTTTTGTTTACAAACCACGAACAACTGATTGTCCTAGCTCCCTCACCATGTTAAGCTACGGTCACACTAAAGTTTTCCAATGCAATAAAACCACGACAGCATTTCTTTCACAGGCAATAAGTCAGCGGTACAATCCGCACACTGGCGAAAGGAACCATTGGCCAGGCGCCCAGCTCGTGCGGCTAGTTTAAGCTCAGTAGGAGAGCAGGATGGGTTCATTGTTTGTCTCTTTGGCTGCATTAACTGCTTTAGTGAGCTGTGTGGTCATGTTAAAGAAAACAAAGATGAAAAAGAAATGATTGTGGGTAACAGTATCCATCAAAAAAATTTGCTGTGCATTTGTAGCGTCCAAGCGATGTTTGTTTACAAAAGTGAGGCAAGTACTCTGACATTTTTGCTCGTGTTTTATCGTCAAAATACACTTTTTATATATTTTTTTACATTTTGACTATAAGAAAAATAAGAACGGTTTTAATGTTATTAAAACAATAGACTGTCTAAAGCATATTTTAACCCACCGTACTGTGGATTTTCAGACGTTCTGTATTTTCCCACTTTTGACAACAAATAAGTTGTCGCTGTAGAGACAACCTGATGAGCTCATTTATAAATCAATGCTACGGTGGATTTATTCTGGGTAGAAACTCTAGTGTGACTGCAGCTTTACCAGCACTCTCCATCTCACCACAACAACTGTCTTCAGCACTTAGTAAATAATATTGTAGTGTATTATACATGTGCATATTTCCTGGTTTATTCATTAATCACTTGTATTATGTGTATAATAATTAACCATCATGTATCACTCAAAGGTAAACCATAATGTTGTGAACATATCTCCTGATCAAATACTAGACAGCATGTTATAATGACTGTTGCTGAGACCTTTAGTTCTCTCCAGGAATGAAGATACGACCATAATCCTTTTATTTTCAAGTAAAAGTACAAATTACAAACTGTATTGTATTTTTTCTGTTATTGAAGATGTTATATTAATAATGATGAATTTTGCACCATAGTAGGGTGATTATATGATAATATAATATAGAATCACTAAATAAACTTGGTGATTATGGCAATGCTCCCCCCAGCCCCTTTATATACAGTGTCTTTGCTCTCGTTACACATACAGTATATTAGACCACTGTACAATATTCAGTGAGCAAGTGTGTTGTTGTTTTCATAAACTTTTTTAATCTTACACATTTTTTAAGTATCTCCATTAAAGACATCAAACACTCTACTTAAAAAGTTCACGAAAATGAGTGTGAAGTAGTGAGGTGCAGTGCACTGATACAATATATATGGAGGCAGGACTAGATTGACACATGTGGTGTGCCATGTGACACCTTCGCACAGATATTCAACCGCACATACGAACACAAACCTTCTGGACTGATACTGGATTTTCCAGACTTTTTAATGTACAGTCGGCCCTTAACATACACGGGTGTTAGTCATGCCTAAATGCCCCAGTGATAGTTCCTGGGCAGCATGATGTGATATGATGAAGTGTAATAAGGCATAATAAGAATGGTGATGGACCAGCAAAGAGTGGTAGAGACTTGAATTTGCCACCCTAGGTTGTCTCAATTTATGCTTTACATTGCCTCTTTAAAGTTTATTATGCATGTTTTATGTGTTTGCTTTATTTTCTTGCTTGACAGTGTACAGTACAGAGATTTATCAAGGGTAGATGGAAGTGTTTGGAGGGTGGCCGGTCCTTAACCCCCAGAATTTTTTACGTTCTTTTGGGGTTAATTGCTTCTTTAACCGTTGATTCACTAACCAACGACTTTTCCCGGTCCCAATATGTATCGGTTATTGGGTACTGCTCCTCTACTTTGTCGTGATCTTATACTCTACAGTATTTGAAGTATATTTTTCATCTAAGGAATGTGAAGTACAACCTATAATTTATATTTTTTTGACTCAGTTATGTTGAATAAAGCTTGTAATTAAGTCTTATTGTTTGTTTCAGGAATGTGAAGCACAAATTCGTGCTATGCTTCCAAAGTCCAACTTCAGCTTGATGGTGGCGGTGCTGAAGAAGTTCCTCCGCTTCATGGACCTGACAGCTTCTGTGAGTTCTAGTGTAGCTGACCCTTTGTTGTTGATGGTATAGTGTGGTTGTTTGTTGATGGTACAGTGTGGTTGTTTGTTGATGGTACAGTGTGGTTGTTTGTTGATGGTACAGTGTGGTTGTTTGTTGATGGTACAGTGTGGTTGTTTGTTGATGGTACAGTGTGGTTGTTTGTTGTGGTACAGTGTGGTTGTTTGTTGATGGTACAGTGTGGTTGTTTGTTGATGGTACAGTGTGGTTGTTTGTTGATGGTACAGTGTGGTTGTTTGTTGTGGTACAGTGTGGTTGTTTGTTGATGGTACAGTGTGGTTGTTTGTTGATGGTACAGTGGTTGTTTGTTGATGGTACAGTGTGGTTGTTTTGTTGATGGTACAGTGTGGTTGTTTGTTGATGGTACAGTGTAGTTGTTTGTTGATGGTACAGTGTGGTTGTTTGTTGATGGTACAGTGTGGTTGTTTGTTGATGGTACAGTGTGGTTGTTTGTTGATGGTACAGTGTGGTTGTTTGTTGATGGTACAGTGGTTGTTTGTTGATGGTACAGTGTGGTTGTTTGTTGATGGTACAGTGGTTGTTTGTTGATGGTATAGTGTGGTTGTTTGTTGATGGTACAGTGTGGTTGTTTGTTGATGGTACAGTGTGGTTGTTTGTTGATGGTACAGTGTGGTTGTTTGTTGATGGTACAGTGTGGTTGTTTGTTGATGGTACAGTGTGGTTGTTTGTTGTGTGGTACAGTGTGGTTGTTTGTTGATGGTACAGTGTGGTTGTTTGTTGTGGTACAGTGTGGTTGTTTGTTGATGGTACAGTGTGGTTGTTTGTTGATGGTGCAGTGTGGTTGTTTGTTGATGGTACAGTGTGGTTGTTTGTTGATGGTGCAGTTTGGTTGTTTGTTGATGGTGCAGTTTGGTTGACTTTGTCTAAACCAGGCATGGGCAACCTTTTCTCCGTCATGGGCCGCATTATAATTTAGGTATTTTTCTTGGGCCAACCCATCAAATTATTTAGCCTACTTAACTTAAAAGTACAGTAATGTTAGATTAGTATATATATATATATATATATATATATATATATATATATATATATATATATATATATATATATATATATATATATATATATATATATATATATATATATAGATCCATGAAAACGTGGATAAGATAAATCTTGATGAAATCATATTTTATCAAGATATATATATATATATATATATATATATATATATATATATATATATATATATATATATATATATATATATATATATATATATATATATATATTATATAATTTAGCCATTGAACCTACTGTATTCATATAGGCTATGTGAAGACACAAGCAACAATAAAAAAGTAGCCTTCTTCATGCCATTAATGGTGGACAGGTGCAAAGTTTGTGTTCGATTTCTATTTCCAATTCTCACCTACTTGACTGTGAACACCTCTGGAAAGCAAACCAATGGAGATCCCACTCTAATTTTCTGCATGTGAATGCATTATATCAAGGACAGTTTTCATGCCAATCTTGATGGCCTTGAATTTGGATTTTTTTCTGTGGTCAAGGTCAAAGGTCATATAGAACTAACTTTTTTATTTGATGCTCTATGGTTTTTACAGCAGGAATCGACATTATTCTACATCCTTTCCTGAGCATTTAGAGACGGATTGTCGAAGTTGGTACAGTAGAACCTTTCAAAATTACAAGGTCATGCTGTTGACCTCAAACTTTGGAAGGTCGTAATTCATAAACCTGCTGACCTAGGAAGCTAAAATTTTGGTAACGATTCATCATTCACTAAACCCAATCTTAATATTAGAAAAAAAAATCAAGGAAATTGGAATTGGTAAGATGAAGTGACAAGAAGTGTGTACACTTGAGATGGAATGCCCCACTTCCCCCTACCCTCTTATACGTACACCATTTGCCTGCTGAATTATTTTTGTCCACAACTGTACTGTATGTACATGTTTTATTTTTTATAAATGTTATCTATAATATAAATCAATAATATTACTTGATTTTAATTACTGTTAGCTCCATCTTGAGCCAGGACGAACTGTGCCCTTGACCCAAGCTACACCGTGGTACACAGAGGCCATGTTTTGTCTCAGCTCGGTCAACACATATTACCTAAACAACATTAAATAAGTGCATTCATCTGGTGATTGGAATGGGGTAGAGCCCCGAGGATATCCAATTTGTGAGGTTTGAGTGTTTGACACCAGGATGTAAAGTCTCCTCTTTTAAGGCACGAACCATAAAACTGTTGGACTGAACTATTTACAATGTAAATTTACTTTTAATGTCAAATATTTTGTTCATTTGAGACTAAAGGAAATAAGCAGTGTGGGTACTGAGCCCTGGAGTAAGAGTCACAGTAAATGTATTAACCCTTAAGCCCGGGGTTAGGGTGCTGCTGGCAGTACCCCCCCCCCCCATCCCCGCGGGGGTTAAATCGCGAAAAAAAAATCAATTTTTCCAAAAATTATAATAAACAAAAGAAATGCCGGGAAAATAAGCGGACTTTCCGGAACGTCACCCGGGGCCTAAGGGTTAAAGCTCATAATTAAAAGAAAAGTAATACTTATAGGGAAGGAAAGAAAACAACAGAAATGAGGGGAAATTAGCTGCAAATTGTGTAGCAGGTCAAATGTATCTCAGAGTGGGGGTGTTAGAGTGAGGCCACAAAGAGCTTCTGTAGTAACAACAACAATGCTATCATGAGGGAAACAGGCTATGTTTTCTTGCTGTTATTAATTCGATCATTTTGGTATAAGAGTTCTGTCACAAGTTGTATCTGACACAGGTAAGAGTGTGTAACATTGATGGGTCAGTCATTCTTTATGGACCTTGAGAAGTAAGTTGTTCACCCAAGTTAGTTTGTCTCATACTTATTTCTCTTTCTGTGTTTCTTTTAATTTCAGACAAGTCTCCTGCGGAGCCTGAAGCCCACAGAGCGTGTTGTAAAGTACATGGAAAAACTGGATTCCAGCGGAGAAGAGGAAGCAGAAAATGAAAAGAAAAAGCAAGAAGCCAAAGAAATGGAATTTGATGCTTTTGGTTTTTAAGGCCGAGAGCAAATGCCTCTCACTAATCCTCAATTTATGCTCACAGCAAATTTAAATTTCCTATTATTTATGAAAACCTCGAAATTTAGGTTTGGTCTTAGGCATTGTGACTTAAAAAAAAATCTAACTGTTGGGGCTGTTTGGGAAAATGGTGAAACTAAAATTTCCAATGGCTAACAGGTTCATTATGCCAGATAAGAATAAAGTATAACTTAATGCTGGCACAGAACAGCCTTGCCTGGTCTAAGATAAGCAGACACTAGACCAGTTCTTCCTCTTCCTGGAATGTTTGTCTGTGGCGCCAAGAGTACAATTTGCATTTTTCTCCCGTGCATCTGATGGTAGCTTAGGGTAGTTAGTGCAATACACTGCAGTATCCTTAACTCTGCCATTCACTCTTTACTGGCCAACCAAAACCAAAGATAGCTGCACCTGAACTGTCCTGTGAGGCTTTATAATAATGGCAGGGGCAGAGTTTTGTTAGAAGAGGTCCTGTGAGAAGGGATGTCAATCCTGGAGCGGAGAGATGTGTAGCTGATAGTGTTACTCTAGTGTGTAGTAAAATAGTGTCTTTTACAGTTTTAAATTTGAAATCCTGAAGAATGACAGAGACTATTTTTTTGCCAAACAGAATTTTCTGTACGTGTCACATGCAACGGTGACTTGGTTCCTTAGGGCGAGATGGCGCTTGAACGGTCGGCATGCCAAACTTGTGCTGCTACAAACATGAATATTCAGAACATTTTCTAGAAGAGTATTGCAATGCATATTTTGATATACAGTACTTGCATGATAAAACTATGTCAAGGGAAAGACATAATGGTTAAATAGTAATAGTAGCAGTGTGCTGTGAGCATACCCGACAACATGTGTCCTCTCCAATAAGGGTCCAAGGAATGTATGTTTTATGAGTGCATTGTTTTTTGCTTTATATAAGGATTCTGTATTTCTCAGCATACGCAAGAGAAGTGAACTGTGATGTGAATGTCCAGAAGTACAGGATCTTCGGGAAAATTCTACCAGTGACCTGATTTTTTTAGTGATGGAATGCATTCATGTCAATAAGGGTTATTTTATTTCTACTTGTGTGATAGTTGAGTATGCATGCTGTTATCATTGTCTCATATACAGTACATTTCCACAAACCATATGACCTTGTTTTCTATTTGCACCTGATGTCTATATATTAAAAGGTTCCCAATGTGAACCAGTTATTCCTTTTACTGTATGTAGTAACCTCCCAGAGATCTCAGAATATAATATTTTATGTTGATTATTTCATCTGTCTTTTTTTTATATTTTACCCTGTCAACACGTGAGATGTGTAGCGTCGTAACCTGGTTCGACTACGACTTGTACCTTCACAAGATGTACTGTTCACATACTGTACAAGAGGCACCTTATTTCACATACCTTGTTCTTCTCTCACATTTCTGTAAATTCCTGAAAGTTTTCACATGGAAAATTATATTCTATATGCCAAATTATATACTGAAAATAATATATTTATGATGATTAACTTTGAACACACAGTTGGACACAAATAACGAGAATAATGTACACGAATTATGTATATTATTAAAATAGCAAAATACATCTTGGTATTTGTAAATGAACGGTTTACCAAGTCTCTATAAGACGTTGTGTGCGGGTAATAAAAACACTTTTGAGAGTAGATTTTGTCTCGAGTGTTGATTTTATTTTGACCATTCATCTGACTTACCACCTGTAATATTTCCTCAAGTAACAATAAAAACTGCCAGAAAGGTTTATAAACTCAGATCAGGTCCTGTGATGGCTGGATCTTGATTTGCTAAATAAAAAATTTACATGATTTTAGGATGTGAATAATGTAAAAAGAGTAATTTATCTCAAGTGTTACCACAGGCATGAGGTCTCTGATACACACGGCATATATGTAGAGTTAAAGAAAGTGTTCCAATGACAATTGATGTGGCATTTATGTTGGTACATTTTGCTGGAAATATTGGTTACATTTGGTTTCTGAATGACAGGTGTAGCAAGGATCACAATAATATGCAGAAGTAAGAGGGCTTTTAAAGCATTGGCAAATATTTTTATGTATAAAAAGAAAACTACATCTGGTTTTTGAAGTCTCTGTTCAGTGTATATATTGAAGAACAGTGAAATGCATGCTATAGTAGCACGTTCTAGAACCTGACTTAAAAAAAATAATTGCCAGGTATGGTTTATCAACAATAAATTGAGTCTTCTACAAGCACCACTACACAAACAGTAGGACTTCACTTTATCGTTTAGTTAAAATTCAAACCTGATTCTCAATCCACATTTCGGGTAAATCCCAGCATTGTGTTGTTGTTCACACAGCAAAATTGGTAATACAAAATTAATAATGATATGTGTAGTAAGAATATTTCAGGCAGTTGTGTGGTACACTAGAGTCAGGCTGGTGTTGACTTGTCACATCTAAAAGTGATGTCTAGATCCCAAAGCTTTTTGTTGTGTAATGTTTAGTTGGTGAAGATGGTTCATGGCAACACCAAACTTAATCTTATTCACAGTTTCTATTTCCTCAGCCGCATCAAGTGTTATATATTACTCAAGTCGAGTCATTGTGTCTGTTTCGGACATTTAAGGTAGGGGGAGTTAAATACAGTACTGTACTGTGCAGGTCTTTTGTATGTACAGTACAGTACCAGGAAACTAGACAAGACTGGCGAAATTTTACAGTATTTACCATTGATACAGTCAAGACCATGAATCAGGCCATTTGTAATAGTTTCTGGTTGGTTAACCTGGGGCTAACCTTCAGGTGAGCACTTGGGGCTAACCTTCAGGTGAGCACTTGGAGGCTAACCTTCAGGTGATAAGATAGATGATGTGTTTTGTGATGTAGGTGTGGACAACATGACTGGTATTATTGTGGTCCAAACACCTGAAATGTGAAAGTGAAGTAATTCAAGAGGAAAGATCTTGAAATTCATGTTTAAGGAGACAACTTACATGTACAGTTACAGGTGCGGACAATAGTTCTGTCTCGTCTCCTGCTGCTCCACGAACCCCGAGATTCAGACTCATGAACCCGAAGCAATAGACACCGAAGCGTTATTCTGTCCATAAATGCTTCGGGTTCAAGAGTCTGAATCTCTGGGTTCATGGAGCAGCAGGAGACAGTGCAGTACTGTACAACCAATTTGAAATTTTGTATCAACGTTTTCTCTCTACAGTATTGTGGAAATAAAAGATAAAAGTAATATTCAACAAAAAAGAACTGTAGTTTGTATGGCTCAAATATGTGATTTTATCTATAATTTCCACAATGGAAATACAGAACTGTGATATTAAACTTCATATTGTGTATACAAGTAATACTGTAGTTGTATCTGGACCTCTGAGTGGGAGATACATGCTGTGTATGACCTTTGACCAGTAGTTAACATTGTTGCATTTAAAAATAATGTACACTGTACTTTGAAATAGAATTTCAGTATTTAAAGTGCAGTAATGTGAAGTTTACTATTCATACAAGACACACTCTTGGGTTGCAGAGAAAGTGGATATAATAATAAGTGTGATATTACATATGAATTACATAACTGGCTCACTAATATTAATTTGTGAAAATTTGTATTCTCTGGCATTCTGCAAATTGCTCAATATGAATTTGTTTATTCCTGGAATTACAGTTTGTATTACAATATAAAATTAACCAACTGCAGTATTCAGTTGTAATTATACATTTTTTCATCCTGTTGAGTTTATCTGCAAAACTTTTATTTTCCTCAGGTGATGGAACAGTACAGTAGTGAGCCTGTGTGGTGAGGGGATGGTGGAGCCTTTTTAGTACTATACGTAGTGTATAAATTGTCTTAACCACTGATTATGTACTAGACAAGTATCAGATACAGCAGAATAATTTGAAACAATTTGGTATGATCATAACTTAATGACAGTCATAATTTCCTTTTCTAACATAAACCTTTTAGTGAGAAGGGTTCAGTTCATGTTTTACCTCTGAAAGCAGCTGGAAGCTAATATAAAGATCACGAGGTCACCCAACCTTTCTTGTTACCTATATTTTCTTCACGTGAGAGATTAGATGCAAAGTTTTCCTTTTTGAGCCGTATTAGTTAGAGCTCATTACTGCACCAGTCTGTGCACAATTCCCACCACTTACAGTACAGGCTGCTATTTCCTTGTCCACAGCTGATAACTGGGTGAGGTACCATGCTTGCCTGGCTCTACTCTATCTCCTGCCCTGCTTATCTTAGCAAATCTAAGGGTTTCGTTCTTCGTAAACCATTTACGGGTCAGGATTATAACTACAGTACTGCAGTTTTGAGTAATGTTTTGGAGGTAAGGCCTTCACTTTAGCTTCCTTATTTCAGTTAAAACGTGTTAATTTGGTCAAATAATCCGATTTGCGGACTAGCTAGTGAGCTGGCCTTCACAACCATGCAGTTTTACTGGCAAATAGTCTCACACTAGGTCAACCTACCTTTTGTTGGCTGCAATCCGGGTGTGGGTGTTTGGGGCTTATGTCTTTTGTTCCAAGGGTCTCTCAGTTCATGCTGCGGGCACCCCAGTCATCCAGCTGTGAATGGGTACCTGACTATCAGGGGAAGTGAAGGTGGTCTAGTGTAGTGTCCACATCAATATCTCCCTGTGTAACAAGACATTATACTGTATTGAGTGTACTGTTGGTGCACTGCCCTTAAAGGATGAGCTTAGGGATAGTATTATGGAAGTACCGTACTCACAATGAACCATAGGGTACATAGTGGAGGTCAGACAGTTAAGATCTAGTTGTTAGTCTTGATTGCTGCTGTGGCTTAAGGCTTTGAAGAAACACTGGAATTCTGTTTTTTGGGGAAGGAGATGAGCTTGTGAGTTTTATGAGTTACATGTTAGTTTATAGAGGAGGTAAGGAAATAAATGTGTGTGTGTGTGGGGGATTCATGTGTCTTTAATATGTTAATAGATTTCCCCGAGTACTGTAGACCCACCTTGTGGACTTGTATTTTTACTTAATTTTATTTAATTTTGTTCCTGGAATGATTTAGTGAAGTATGGTGTTCTCTATCTTCTTGTTACAGTTTTCTTTTTCATGACCTAAGATTATTGAAGTACAGTATAGTACTTTCTGACTCATTGCAGTACTAGTCCAGACATAATAGGACCCTACCATTCCATCCAGGACAATAAAATAATTTGGTGGTGAATATATTGGCATCCCTTTCTAGGGATTGTTTGTCTGTTGAGTGATGAACCTCTTGTAGTACAGTACAGTACAGTACCAACTCTTCCCACATAATGTAGCTCTGTTACCCTACTGCAGATATGAGCTGTAATAGACCTGCCTGTATTGAACAATGTTTGCCTTTACTAGTAATCTCCTTCATGTGACGGTGATAGATTATGACAGCGAGGGTTGGATGATCTTAGGGTCTTAGACTAGCCCCAGCTGTCTTTAGGTGGGGAAAATAAAAATAAATTAACTTTATTCTGGCTTTCATGGCAAGAGCCGCCTCACTAAAGGATTTTAAACAATTATTTCAGTAACCAGTCCCACATTTATCACAGTAGTATTTATCTCGTGTGAAAACCAACACTTCTAATTGATCATTGAATGCAGGATTAAAATTATAGTTATTCCAATCAATAACATACTTTAGGTGGAGATAAAACTATACATTATTATTTATCCAGAACTTACCCTGTATATGCACTGTTCATCTGGGATCACTGCTGTGTTGTGACTGATGAACATTATTTGTAAAAATCGGAATTTGGAATGGTATTGTGATTACAGTGTCTTAATATATCGAGCATTTCACTACCAAGGTATAATTCAGGAAATATATTAAAAAAATAACAATAAACTTTAATATTTAACAACTATCAAAATAGATTTCTCAAGAGATTAGACACTCTAAGGAGACCATAATCTGAACTGACTGACTGTCATATCGCAATTATTAACTGGCAGTCTCAAACATTTCTTGAAAATCTGGTAAGTGTGGAAAATGGTAAAATAATAATGACCGCCTTGGTCAAGAAGGTTCTGAATATTAAAGAATATACAGGTAAATTATTTTGTGTAAAGAATGGTTTTACAATATGGTGACAACGTAAAACTTTGTGAAATTTTGGTAAACATTTCCTTGTGATGAAATTTTGGTAAACATTTCCTTGTGAAAGATAAGTTATTTCATTAAATTATCAATGCTTCCTAGAAGGCTTGGCTGCAGTACCGAGTGTGATGTGAGAGTAGGTACTGTACTCTACCTCTACATCTCGCTCCAAGTCCAGGTAAAGTATTTGACATGATAAAATACAGTATTTCAAAATTATTGGGAGTGCTGTAACAGTAACCAAGTGAAGATTAAAACGCATGCCTATGGTCACAAACGCAAATTCCTACCCATGGTCAGGAACAAACACCTACTGTTAAGGAAACTGAGCACTCAAGAATGCAAATATCTAACGTTACTTTACTTCAACTTTTATTTTAATATCAAAATTTAAATTATATCTACATGTGTGTGAGTCGAGGGGCTTTTTGGTTTAAATAATTTAGTTCTAATACCTTGTAAAACTCGTGTCCAATTATGTAACAAGTGACAATCTGTATATTTTGTAAAATTTACAAGTGACTTTTTACTGTAGGATTAGTTATACAGCATCACTGGGCTTAATTGAATAGTAGATCACACTAATGGTTGACAAGACATTACCCAACAGTATAATTTATAGGACATGAAAAATATGCAAGTGATTTTTAAATATAATAGTTACACCGAAATAAACAAAAAATATATATATTCACGGATGAAAAATAATGAACTCGGTTGTACTAATACACGTTGGTCCTGGAACAGTGGATCATGCCACGACAGAGCAACAGCTGCTGGTGCTGAGAGCTGAACTGCCTGGGTGCGCAGAAGAGACATCACCTGCCCCTCGTTGTCTTGTTGGGGAGTAAGCCGTGCAGGTAGAGGTGAATGTGTGGTGTATATACAGGGAAGTCTGACCCTTCTATGTTTCACTACCCATGGTCAGGAACACAATCACATACCCATGGTTAGGAACACAAACATCTACCCGTGGTTAGGAACACAAACACCTACCCATGGTCCGGAACGGTGACTGGATAAAACCCCAACGGACAAAACCCTAGTCTCATATAAATATAAAATAAAACACTTATGTTTAGGTTAGGTTAGTGTTGACAAATGACAACCCCGTTGGGGTTTTGTCATGGAACCGTCAGGAACACACCTACTCATGGTCAGGAACAAACACCTACCCATGGTCAGGAACACACCTACTCATGGTCAGGAACAAAGGCGAAGAGTAGAGTTTGTGTACACTTTAAAAAAAATCTTTATCATTGTAACCAGTCAGAGAAAGAACATTCAGTAATACTGTACAGCTGTTTGTGTATGTTATCGTATGAAAGATATAATGACGAAGTGATGCTCTTTGGTATTACTTTGAATATTTTAAGTTTAAAAAAGAATCAAACTTAAAACCTAATCAATTTTAATCTATATAACCTAACCCAGTCCCCAGGTAACAGTAGGGTAACAAGAGGTTGTAATCATCAGGTGAAATAAGCTGGGGTGTCTAATCTTCAGGTGATACGGAATTAACATGCGGGCTGCTACTCTGGCGTGAAAACAATATAAAAAGTCTCTGCACAGTGAATTGTGGACCACAAGCAAAAACATTAAAGTTTAAATCCTCCCCAAACTAAACCAGGTTGGGTAAGTTAGGTTTGGTTGGCTCATGCCATCATGTAACCTAACGTAGTTTTTTCTTTTGTTTTATATATTTAGATAACTATGTTTAAAAAAATATGAGGAATATTAAAAAAGCATAAGGTGATTTTAACCATTAACTGCACTTAAATAATATAAATAAAGATTGGGGTGACACAACCACGCAAATTTTATGAACAAAACATTGGCGACTTTCATCCACAGTTTGTCCATTTGATTTTTAAATACTAACTTCTGTAATCGGCCCTGCCCCTGTAGTTTAATATTAAGAAGTAAAATATACAACTTTAATTATATTACATAAAGTCACAAATACTGTAGTTTAGTAATGGAAGCAACATAATTTATTACCAAAAGCGATACTTCCGTGAGTTGAATGAGACCAGTTGCTAGGTTGTTTTTGTGGGGGCTTGGGGCTCAATACAGTAAGTTCTCTTTTAAGCCCATGTTTAAACACTGTGCCATCTATTATGTATCTTGAAGGATATTTGTAAAGAAAAAAAAAAAAAAAAAAAAATATATATATATATATATATATATATATATATATATATATATATATATATATATATATATATATATATATATATATATATATATATATATATATATATATATATATATATTTATATATATAGGGTGTGACAGTTGCCCCAACTTTGTCCTACAATTCTGTTAAAAATTTTGGTGTTGCATATTGACATAAAAAATACCCACGTGCAATTTTTTGAAGATTCATGCATATTTGAGTGAGCACCAGCAATTTGAAAAATAGCGATTTTGCTTATACGGCTTACGCGCCTATATATGAGATTACACAACCATCATAAGGGATATTAACACAAATCATTTGCCTCTCTTAATTAAAAGCTGTTACCACTAACACAAAAAAGTTAATCATTCTTATGCTCTCATGGTATATTAAGGGGTTAAAACATATATTCACAAGGTATTATTTCTCTAGAGCTGGACTGTGG